ATACATTATTAGTTTTTAAAATCTAAGTTAATTTAAATAATAATGAACTGAAGAGAAGACAGTTCTATTCAGAAATAGATTCCAGGATCTAAAAGAATTTGGTTCATCCAGTTCATGTCAACAAAACTCTATTGAATTTTTATTCCTTGATGCTATGCTAGTAGGAAAGTAAATAATGGGTACAAATTTTCTAGAAAGCAATTTGGCAATGTAAATCAAACACTTTTGAGCAGTAAATCCATTTTTAGGATTTATTCTAAAGAATGGTCAGAAATTCATTAAGTTCTTATACAAAGATGCTAAGTTTATAACAATGGGCATACTGAACTATAGCTGCACAGAATATGATGAATCTCACAAACACAATAATTTTTACACAAAAATGTATACATTACAAGATTCCATTCACATATACTTCATATACATCAAACAATCTATGCTGTTAGAAGTCAGGATACCTTTGGAAATTGAGTAAAGTGACTGAAAAATATAGGTTAGAAGGAGATTCTAGAATTTATTTCATGTATAATAACCTGCACATTTTTAAGTATCAAATACAATTAATTCACATGCATTTGTGAGACATCAAACCCAGAATAATGAATATACCATAACCCCAAAGTTTCATTGTGCTATTCTGCAATCCATTTCTCCTATCCTACACTCTCAATCCTGAGATACCACTTCACTCTCCATCACTAAAGGATTGTGTTTTCTACATTACTATAGAAATAGAATCATGCAGCATGTTCTTTCATTTCTCCTAGGTAAATAACCAGGAGGGAATGGCTGTATCATATGGTAGGTATTTGTTTACCTTTCATAAAATAAACTGCCAAACTTCTGAAATGACTGCCCATTTACCTTACCACCTGCAATATATGCAAGTCCCAATACCTCCATATCCTTTCCAGTATTTGGTTTGGTTACTCTTTATCTTTGTAATTTAGCCAATCTGGTAGATATAGGAGTATCTCACTGTGATATTTACATTTACCTAATAATCAATGATGCTGACTGTCTTTTCATATGCTTATTTGCCATTCATACATCTTCTTTAATTAAATATCTATTCAAATCCTTTGTCAATCTTTAAATGGAGCTGTTTGTTTTCTCATTATCGAGTTTTGAGAGTTCTTTATATTCTGGATACAAGCCTTTTATCAGATATGTGTTTTGTAAATTTTTTTCCAATTTAAGTCTACTTTCTTTTTTAACAAATTTTTTGAAGAACAAATTTTAAATTATGTTGAAGTCTAATATTTTTCTATCATGAATCATTTTGTGTGTGGGGGTTGAGCTCAGGGTCTCACACTTGCTAGGCAGATGCTCTACCACCCGAGCCACTTACCCAGTCCTTTATTGCTTTAGTTTTCAGGTTTTTGCCCTAGGTGGGTCTCAGATGGTGGATCCTCTGATCTAAGGCATTCTGAGTAGTTGGGATTACAGGCATGAGATAACAACATGACCAGAATATGTTTTATTTTTATCCAAGAAATCTTTGTCTAATACAAGGCCACAAAAATTTTTTCCTATGTTTTCATATATCAATTTTATAGATTTATATTTAGGACTATCACCCATTTGAGTTAATTTTTGTCATGGACTGAATCCAAGGGAACATCTACTCTGAGGGGCTGAAGGAAGGAGAAAAGCAGTCAGTCACAGAGCTGGAAGAGAACAAGCAATAAGCTAATGACCTGAAGCTGAAGCCAAAGAGGGGGAGGGCTTCAATCAGAGGAGAGTTTAGGCTGGGCACAGTGGCTCACACCTATAATCCCAGTAACTTGAGAGGTGGAAATAGAAGGATCATGTTAGAGGTCAAAAGTTAGTGAGACCCTATCTGAATGAACAAGCCAGTTATGGTGGTTCATGCCTGTAATTCCACGTATAAAGGAAGCAGAGATAGGAGAATCACAGTCCAAGGCTGACTTAAGCAAAATTGAGACCCTATCTGAAAAATAATTAAAGCAAACAGGGATGGGGAAATGGCTCAGGTAGTAAAGTGACTCTTATGCCTGTCAACCAGTGCAAGGCTCTGAGTTCAAACCCCAGGACTACCAAAAGCAAACAGTATGCATGGTATACTTTTTGCTTATACATGGTATAAGTTAGTAAAGTAACAGTCACTGGATTTGCCAATGAGGTCAGTGGTGGCCTTTGCAAATGACTTTCAATATAACGGGGAAGACAGAAACCAGACTGAAATGTACCAAGGAAAGCATGGATGGAGATGAAAGACCTCTAATCACTCTAGAAAATTCTGGCAACAAAAAATAAAAGAAACACACTTGACAGTGAACTCAGTGTTCACTTCTTCTTGATTAAGGAGTATGGAGAGATGAAAAGAAGATGAGAGACACGAAATAACTGATGAAACAAGCTTGGAGATGATAATGTATCACAAACACAGTTTACCTTTTATAATGAGGACATAGAAAGTGAGAAGAAAATTTTGTGAAGAAGGATACATTTTGAGATTGTGACCAGAGACCTTGCTCAACTTTCCTGGCAAAATTAGGAAGGAGGTTATCTACTGTGACTAAGAAAGAAGGGATGGAGCTTGGGAAGGGTAAAAGGGTTCAGAATTACTTTGTGGGAAAATGGTGGGTTGGACTCCAATACAGATAAGTTATGGAATTATCAAGAAGCTTTCAGTACTCAGAGACAAAGAATCTATGTTTATAAAGTTTATTATTTGCTGCATTCCCTTCCTTTGGCTGCCAAGAGTTGGGGAGGAAAAAGAGAAATGGATCAAGTGATTCCATAACTTCTTTGCAACACTTGTACTTCTCTCTCTCTCTCTCATTTTTTTTTAATACTAACAACCTGTTTGGTATGTAGAACAGGTTCCATTCTACACATGAAGAAACAAAGACTGAGAGAACAGCTATTCCAGAATGTTTGGCTAGCTGGGACTTGAATCTAGATCTCTTGATTCTAATTCTAGTAATCAGAATTTCCACTAAATTCTCTCACTGCATCATGTTTCATTCTATCTTCAGTATTTATCATTACTAATAATTATCATTATTGCTCTAACCTTAAAACTTGGCCTGAGACAATTCATTAATTGCTATTCTACCTTTCCAATCCACTCTACACTCTGCTCCATTTGCCTTTGTAAACAACTTTGCCCATGCTCTACATATTCAGGGATCTACATAAAAGTCACAAAGTGGCATCTACACCTGCAGTGTTCCTCAGCAAAGGGGGAAAAAGTCTTGTGTACATCAGAGCTTACTTTGCTAACAGAAAAATAACTAACTATCAAATTGCAATCATAGTTTACCATTTAGAATGAACTCAGTTTGCCATTTAGAATGTTTTCTTAGAGTCTGTGGTATAGAAAGACAAAAGGAATCAGAAGGAAAGAACAGTAGCCAGAAAGCCAGAAGGAAATGACACAGGATTCTTCTCTAAAATATCCAGTCCACTTAAGTGTCCTCCTCCTAAAATGCCTCCCAGGGCAAGGGCTGCAAGACTAGCAATAACCAGAGCACTTGAGCAGTAACTCCTCACTCACACCCCCACTACAGCTTTCCAAATTCTCCTACCCAAAATAAAGTCTAAGAGTGTTCCCAAGGAAATCATTAATCTAGCTGAGCAAGGAAGCACACACTTATAATCACAGCATTCTGGAGAATGAGGCAGAAGGATAATGAAACTCTGTCTCAAAAAAGCAAAACCAAAATGAAAGAAAAAAAACAAAAAAAAGAGAAAAGAAAGATATCAATCTATGATAAAGTCTTAAGAGACTTTATCAATCTATGATAAAGTCTTAAGAGAAAATCTGAAACAGGCACCTTTATTTTGCCTTTGATGAAAATGTTATGTTTTAGTGTGTTGGGCAATCTGAATAAAAACTCATAAGCGATGAGTGTCTAGTAACAAATCTTGGGTTTTGTGAACACAACAGTTTTTTTTTTTTAATTCAGCGCCCTCTTGCTTGAAACAGTTATTTTGCTATTGTAGACTATGATGCAAATGAAAGCATTTCTATTCTTATTTCAAAGTCTGCTGTATAAAATAAGTATATATGTTTTTCAAAGTCAGTTGACAGCCTAATATTGTACACTTAACTACAACATACAGTTATCCAGTTTATTCACAACTATTTAACTAATTTGCTTTAAAATGTATTGTGAAAAATGTAATTTTTCACTTCTCATAGTTTCTGTTTCTCAACAGATTACACTCATTGGCACTTGTATATAAAGTAGGTCTAAACAAGGCAGCCTCACAATCCTTTGCTATAGATGGTCACTAACTTCTTTTACTGCATTAAAGTTAACATAAATATAACTACTATTCTTTATTGTAAACATTATTTTGAAAGCAGATCTTTCACAAGCTAAATCATCTTAAAACTTGGACTTTTCAGTTTGCACTTCTTACAAAAACAATTATTCTGTAGCAGAGCATCACATTTCCTAGAGCTAAATGATACTGTGAAACAGTGAGATCTTGCAGACCAGAATTATAACAATATTCCTGCTTTTCAGCATTAAAGAAAAAATGAATAAATTTAAGGCAAAACCTCTTCTTCAGAAAAAAAAAGGCCTCTTCTGTTATATTTAATCCATTTTCACACAGTTTTTCTTAATTACACTACAGCTGTCTGGTAAGGCACAACTGACCACTTCCATCATGAAAACAAACTGTACTCCACCATCTAAAGTTCTCGAATGGAAAGCAAATGTTTTTGTGAGCCCAGAGAAAACGGGTGCAGCTGCTCCATTTCACGAGGCAGGCACCTCTACTCCATTCAGCTGTGAAGAATGGCAATGACTGTAAATTGTTCTTCCTGATCGGTTCCACAATAAAAACAAACCACACTACTTTCAATTTTTCAAAGCCAAATTTTTAAGCCTCCAGTATACTGGAAACAAGAGTTGTGTTCTTCTGATTCATAGCCTTTGATTTCTACATAAATGTCCCTGTATGCATGTAAAAACAGGTCCCTGCAGGATACTCACAGACTGTATATATTAACTTACCAGATGTACCAGAAGATAGAAACGCCATCAGCCTACCTTTTAAACCAAGATACTATTTAACAGCTTAAACTGCCTGTGACTAAAGGATGACTGCAAAGAACATACTGTATGTGGAGAGGCATTAAGTAGTTCATGAGAAAACTTCAGCATGCTCACAAAAAGTGAAACAAATGGCTTTGAACTTTTTAACAGTCACCCTTAAAATCCACAGTATGAAATTCAGGTCAAGTCACACATCTGCATTTTGCAATTAAAACACTTAAAATCTAGTAGTAACTAAAGTGACTGATAACAATGTTGTTAAGAAACTTCTACATGTCCCCAATTTACTTCAATGTTCAAAGTAACTATCATTTAAACTTGAGGACTCCAAAAGTATTTTTTTAATTGAACACACACTTAACAATGTTAAAATGTTAAGAGAATGTCTCCTCTCTATTTAGATAAATCACACAGAATTTACTTATTTATAAACATGAAGCAGTACACTAATATCTAATGCACATTTAAAAACATACACAAAAGCAGACAGTTGTTAAGGATGGGATAAAATAATTTACAAATAGTAGTTTTAAGATTTTGTACTCTTTCAGGGTTCTGTTGAATGGCTCCAGGATCACCACCTACCTCCTTTCCCCATGGGGATCCTAAGTGGACCATGGCTAGGCCAAACTATATCCTTATTGACTTTGGAAGATTTTTTGATTGCTGTAAATTTCTACCCCTGCCATCAAGAAGATGTTCATGTGAAAACCTAAGGATATAATCTAGTTTAGAATAGTTTTTAATTTGGACTCATAACCTGAGTATTACAATGGAATTAAATGTGATATAACCTGGAATAACAAACAAGAAAATGATCAGATGTATAAATCCCCACTTCAGTGAAAAACTGCCCGAATAAAGCTACCAATGATTTCTCTCTCACTCAAGAATGCCATCAAAATCATCTTAATCAGCAAACAGGTTTCTTTTGAAAATAGCACCCTGTGGCTGCTGCGATGACTGTACCCCGGCCATGCTGGTTACCTAGCCTTTCCACATATCACCTACTGATAATTTACCATTCCACATTGGCTCATTTATAAACTCATTCTTTTCTGAAACCCTACCTATATGTGATTTTAGGCAAAAGAAGTTCTCACCAAGCAATGAATTTTTTTTAATTGAACTTTATCAATAATGCAATGCAATAGAACCGATACTTATGCAGTATATACAATTTTGTTGAAAGCTAGAAATACAATTTTTATTGTCTTCAAAGAGCTCAGAAAATGCAAAGAACTATCAAAAAAACTACATACACACACACACACACACACACTCACATATAGTTCTTGTTTGCCTTGTTTTTCTGTGTCTTCTTTCACAGGTTCCTCTTCAGTACCACCTGTGTAATTCTCCAGGGCTATTATCTTCTCACTCCACCTCTAGCAGATCTTATCCAAGATTATAACTCAAGATATACAAGGTGTCTTTAATTAGCAAAGCTATTTCTAAAGAACAAATATTTTTCTTGAGCTATATAGTCCATACATCCCATACTTCTACTTACTCCACTTATCCAACTGGCTGTCCCAACAGCAGTTTACCTCAACACTACCAAAAGTGAAACTCATAATTTTCTCCATAAAACGTGTAGAACTTTCTGTGTACACTCTCTCAACTCATGGGAATCATCATGGACTTCTGCCTTATCCTCTCCTAATGTAGCCAATTTAATTTCAAACTCTGGTCAATTCCTCTTGATACCTCCCAAACTTGCCTCCTCTCCTCTGTCACTTCCATCTTCATTCAATACATGCCTAGCTGGTCTATTCCCTCTAATTCTTTTCTGTTTCTTTGTGCCCCTCACCCATGGTACTGGGGATTAAACCCAAGGTTTTGCGTATGTTAGGCAAGTGCTCTACCACTACATACTCCCTGCCCTTTTATTTGTATTTTGTTTTAGAGATAACATCTCACTAACTGCCCAGTTTGGTCTCAAACTCACCAACCTCCCACCTCCTCTTCCCAAACAGCTGGGATTACAATCATGTACCATCATGCACAACTTCCCTCTAATTTCTGCCTCTTAACACCCACCTTTATCCGTTTATCTCAGATTCCCCCTGGACCAGTGTTTCCTCCTCTGTGTTTCATCTTCCAACCATACTGAATATGCTGAACCATTTCCAGAAATGCCATGCTAGCAGAACTCTGTCTTAAGACATGCTACTTCCTATATACAAATATGCTTCCCTTTACCTTTCTTCACTTTTAATGGAAAACTCCAAAATAAATTTGATCAGCTGGGGTCAACATGCCACCAGGCCAATGAGATGGGTACAAAGTAGACACTCCATAAGGATTTGATTAGGGAAGGGATATGTAGCAAAAACCTACCCTGTGAGTGGGCGCTTGTTTTTCAAATGTTTGTGGAAGTTAAAGCCACCTGCATTCCCTTACTAACAGAGCAGATGTATGGAGTTTTCACTGAGGACTTCTGTCTCCACAACTACTTACTTCTCCTATCACACGGCCCTGAAATGAGTATTTGGAACTCATTTTGATGAGTATGCCCAAATGTGTAAGCTACAGACATGCAAAAGCTAAACTTTTGCACAGATGAATGAAAGGTGTTTCTGGTCTTCCTTTCTTGATTCAGACTCCAGTAATTCACACTGCACTGGTGCTTTTAGTCACTACTCATTCTCACCCTCCTTTTAAATCAGATCCTCCAGTATACACAGATGTGAAGGTACTAATTAGTCAGTCATTCATTAATTTAATAAGCATTTCCTGACCAACTAAAATGTTATAGACATTGAATAAAATGAGAAGCTTACAGTTGGGGGAAGGAGAAAAACATGTATAAAACATGTATAAAATTACTAAACACAACATGGTAAGTATAGATATATATTTGTCCATTCATTCAGCAATGGTGATGAAGATTCAGCAATGAAAGAAATAAGAATAAGGATTACAAAAGCAAGGAGCTTAATTAGTAATCAAATGAGCAAACAAAGCCAACCAAACACACCTAAGGGAGCCAACTTCTCCAGACCAGAAGGAGTGGCCAGCAAAGGATAATATGTGCACAATGCAAGTTAACATTTATGCATCTAAGAGAAAGCAAATTACTAGAACATGAAAAAGCAAAAAAGCATAAATTTAAGTATGTGCTTACTCAATTTATCCAACTGGATGTCCCAAAAACAGTTTATCTGCAGCAGAGCATGGAGACTGAAAGCCAGATCACTTGCGATCTCATCACAGCCTTCCCTGTTACCAGCTCTGTAACCTTGGGTAAGTTACTTATTCTCAGCTTCTTTATATGTAATTTGAGATATAATAATATTATATACCTCAAAGAACTAGTTTGAGGATTAAACTCATAAATACTTATAATAGTATTAAAATGGAACTTGGAGCCAGGTGTTGTAACTCATGCATCTAATTGCAGCTACTCTTGAGATGGGGAGGATCATGGTTTGAGGCAGCCTGGGCAAAAAATTAGTGAGACCCTCATCTCAACAAATAAGTTGGGCATGGTGGTGTACCTGTGGTCCCAGCTACATGGGAGGCTGTAGGTATGAAGATTGTGGTATGAAGCCCTGGGCCAATAAGAGACCCTACCCAAAAAATAACCTTAAAAAGCAAAAAGGGTTAGGGGCTTGGCTCAAGTGGTAGAATCCATGCCTAATAAATTCAAGGCCATGAGTTCAAACCCCAGTAACACACACACACACACACAGAGATAGCATAATGAAATCCACCAAACAGTTTTTAAAAGGTGGAGAGGGAGGTTAAGGGAATATATAGGAGGAGGTGAACTTCTTCAAAGTACACTGTATGCATCTATGGAATTACTATAATGAGCCCTTTTTTTAAAAAGTCAAATTGACATTTGAGAAGTAAAAACTAATTCCTTGGTGATATAATAAAACTAAACAATATTCTTAAAACACACACACAGTGCTATCAGAAAAAAAAAAGGTAATTGACCCCTAAGTATAAACTAGTAATGTTTTGAGGTAGTAGTGGTCATTATTGCTATTTTGACCTGGAGCAGAGTGCTGCAACTGTAGAATCCATATTAGTCACTGCGGATCTCCTGGAGAAATGTTTTGCCTCTTATTAACTACATGAAAATGCTGCTTTCCAGCTACTAATACTCCAGAGTTGAAAACCAAAATAAACATGCTTAGCAAAGCAGATTGTTTAATCTTACTTTTGGCTAAGAGCTTAATTCTTGGAATGTTCACTATTCACAATAGATAGTAGCGGCCATCTCTGAAGCCACAATACTCATGCAATCCTTTTATGGTGGAAGGATTTCAAAAGACACAGTTTTTAACAGTTGTGTAAAACATTTATCCAGGCTAGAGGTTCTATGAAAGCAGAATGGGCAAGAATGCTATAGAATCCACCAGAGAATATGAAGCCCACTAGATAAGGTGAAGACTTTTGTCGGTGCTCACCAATGTATCATTATCATGTAGTTCTGTATCTGAACATGGCAGGACCTTAATATTTTCAGATAAACATTATGGTTTAAAAATGAACAGTCCAAAGTCTTACTCAAATGACACATTTGTAGGAAATTACATATATTTTAAATAATATGAGCTTTAAAGCTCAATCACACCATTGAGCTTTAAAGAAAGCAAGTTTTATCCTCAACACTAACCAGCTTACAAAAAAAGAAAGGAAAAAATTAAGCAACCTTGGTGAAACTGCTGATTGGCTAAACATGGATGTGTGTTTTCAACCAAAGCAGCACCTGCACCATATAGAAGAATAAATTCACCAAGAAGCAGTTATGAATATATAAAACTATAAGGCTCTGGGTTCTTTCATTATGAAGGCAACAGCAAGTGTTTTCTGGACTTGCACCTGGTATACTCCCTTCTTAACTACATGAGGACCTGTTTTATTACAACAAAGTTTTGAAAAACTGAGGTAAATATCAGTTTATTAATCAGATGAACTTTAATGTTAAATAGTTAGTTTTACTTCCTAATATAAATTCCTGGCCTGCAT